GTGTTTAGCATCACAGCAACCACGAGTTTCCTCTGTACAGCAAGTGGACAGACCAGTGATATACCACGTAGATGAATGTTTGACCAAAAATAATTAAAACCAGGCCTGAGGGCCGCAGATTAAAACCACATTTGCCTTGGGAGCTTAACTCTATCCACTAGGCCAACAGAGCTCTCTTGTTGTTATGCAAACCAATATAAAATATAAAATAATTTTTTAAAAAACCAAGCAGCCTGAAACAAACAAAAATCCAAACAAAACCAACTGCTTGTTAGACCATTCTTCTTAGTATTCCTTAATCTGAAACATTTTCCCAACATACAATCCTCCACTGTCAGATGTGTGTTGGCCACAATTGAGATGCATACATTGGCTAAAAATAGAATCTTGGTCTCTGATAAGGAAGAGAAGAATTCTACCTCTGAATAACTATGACTTCCTCTCTGGAGAATGTCCAGACATAGTGACAGTTGTTATGTAAAATGATTTCTCAGCACTTTGATCCAGGGCACATTTTAATAAAATTGTTTTATATTATCTACATCTTATACACACTGATTCTTCTGAAACCATTTCATTGATGTCATAGACTTGTATTGTCCATGGCTATTATCAGAGATTCTATCTGGGCAATTGAAAGCATTTCATTGAAACTGCAGTGGGTTTTAAATAGAAATGGTCTCTGATGTCATAGTCCAGAGAGAGGTGTCATGCTAATTCAAAGGCAGTGATTGCCTGCTATTTTGGATTTACCCATGGCTCCAAGAGGAAAGATGGGGAAGCTTCTTGTGTGTTATTTATAAGTCAATAAGTATAAAGCACAAAAAGTTGTGAAAAGTTAGAATTAAAACAAGTAAGAATATTATATTAATAGTTTCATATTGATTATATATACAAAAAATAGCATTTCAAGAAAATAGTATAACAGTTTTATGCTAACAGTGATATATGGTGTATTACTTCATATTCATACTGTATTGAATATGCACAAAATCTGTATCCATAGCATATGTGTGTGATATAGCAATATGCAATTAACTTTAGTGTATATAAAATGTATGAGTTATAATAGTAATAAATGTATTACTTAGACTTTCTTTTATCTACTTGTTGTTGTTATGTACAGTCAAGTCACCTGAAACTCATAGCAACCCTATGTACAACAGCCCTAAATTCTGTTCTGTCAATCTTATTGTCACTGACTCACCTACTCTCATTACCCTAGTCACTGAAACAATCCATTTTATCAAGGGTCATCCTTTCCTGCGCTGTACCTCCACCCTCCCAAGCATTATGTCCCTCTCAAAGGTCTGGCCCCACGTCCAAAGTATGTCAGAAGAAACTCCAGAAGCTTTACCTCCAAGGAACAGCTGGCTTTAACCTTCTCTAGGACATACCTTTGGATGGTGAAGAGACTGAGATTGTTCACAGCTTTAGTTTGCTTGGCTCCACAACTAACACTCTTGGCACCAGCAGCCAGGAAATTAAAAGGCATACTACCATAGAGAGTCCGCTGTTAGGGATCTCTGCAAAGTACTGAAGAACAATGGTGTCTCTCTGGAGACTAAGGTGCGTCTGATATAGGCCATGGTCTTTGCTATCACTTGTTATGCATCAGAGAGTTGGACAATTAGTAAGGGGGCTAGAAGGAGAAATGATACCTCTGAGCTGTGGTGTTGGAGAAGAATATTAAGAGTACCATGGACTGCTGGGAAAACAAACAAATTTAGCCTGGAGAGGGTTAAACCAGGCGGCTCCTTGGAGACAATGATTCTGAGACTCCATCTGACATACTTTGGACATGTTGTAAGGAGAGATCTGTCCTTGGAGTAGACATCATACTTGAGAGGGTGGAGGGACAGCGCATGAGGGGAAGGCCCTCTATGAGGTGGATTGATTCAGTGATTGGGGTAATCGGGATGGGAGTGTCAGAGACAGTGCGATTGGCACAGGACAGAGCAGAATTTAGGGCTGTTGCACATAGGATTGCTATGAGTAGCAAGTGACTCAACGACACATAACAACAACAACAACAGGACAAACCTGTTCATTCTCCTAGCAGTCTATGGTATATTTGATATTCTTCTCCAACACCACAGCTCAAGGGCATCAATTTTTCCTCTATTCTCCCTAGTCATTGTCCTGCTCTCTGATGCATTGCAAGTGATTGCAAGGTGGCCTGTATCAGGCACACCTTAGTCTCCAGCCTGACATTGTCCTTCAGTACTTTGGAGAAATCTCTTACAGTATACTTTCACAGCACAATACATCTTTTAATTTCCAGGCTGCTGATACCAAGAATGTTGATTGTGGAGTCAAGCAACAAAAGCTCTAAATAATCTCAATCTCTTCACCATCCATTATGATGCTGCCAGTTGGCCCATTGGAGAGAATCTTTGTTTTCTTGATATTGTTGTACATAGAGTTTTCAAAGTCCTGTTATTTTGGAAGTGGATGGCCAGTCATTCTTCCTAGTCTGTCTTAATGTGAACACTCAGATTTAGAACAGAGTCTGACAAACAAGCATTATACAGAAAAGAGTAGATGAAAAGTATTTCCCCAATTGTAGAAATAACCAATAAAATTACGTATGTCATTCTTAATATATTTTTATTTTAAAGCACTTGTCTAGGATGTTCAAATCAATGAGGGAGAAGAAATTTCTTTTAAAAAATAAATAAATAAGGAGAACAAGAGCCTACAGAGAGGCATAATTATTCTTTCTTTGGAGAGAATATCCCAAACACTCGTGTCATGGCTCCCAAGACCTCTTTATTCCTCAAACTGTAGATAATGGGATTGAGCATGGGGGTGAGGATGGTATAAAATACAGCCAAAATTTTATCTTCTTCTGGTGAGCGTAGATTCCTGGGCCTAAGATAGGTATAAACAAATGGTGCATAGTAAAAAGTAACCACAGTTAAATGTGTTGAACAGGTAGTAAAGGCCTTTTTTCTTCCTTCTTTGGAGCGCATATGATAGACAGCCAAAAGCACTCGGCCGTAAGAAGCAGTGATGCCAAGGAAAGGAAAGAGCAGAAAGAGACTAGTGCTCACAAAAACCATGTACTCATAAACCCAGGTGTCCATGCATGCCAGAGGCAACATGGCTGGAACATCACAGAAGAAATGATTAATGGTCCTGGACCGACAGTAAGGAATATGAAGGGCATAGGCTGTGTGTGCCAGGGAATTGATGGACCCTAAAATCCAAGATCCAATGATCATGTGGACACACATCCTTTTACTCATACGATGGGGATAATGGAGGGGGTGGCAAATGGCCACATAGCGGTCATAGGCCATAGAAGCTAGAAGTAAGCCTTCAGAACAGGCCATTGTCAAGAAGAAAAAGCTTTGCACCCCACATCCTAGGAAAGAAATGCCTTTATGTCCAGAGAGGAAGTTGAATGCCATCTTGGGGACAGTGGTAGAGATGTACATCAGGTCCATAAGGGAGAGCTGGCTGAGGAGGAAGTACATGGGTGTGTGAAGACGAGAGTCCACACGGATGAGGTGGATCATGGCTGAGTTACCCACTGTGGCCAAAAGGAATACAAAGACGATGACAAATAAGAGCAACAAGCCAGTATGATTTGGCGGGAAAAGTCCCAACAAAATGAAATCATTTGAAGTTTGATTCCATTCCTCCATGGGAACTTACTGTTTTAACTACCTTGGGACAAGAAAAAAAAAAGAGAGAGAGAGAGAAACGAAAATAAATTTCACATTTGTTCACGATGTTTAAAGTAATTATTTTCCAAATTTCAATTTTTATTGAATTCAATAGCTGAAATTAATTTCTCAACTCTTTCCTATGAATTTCCAGGTAGCCAATCAGCAAGTCATGTGTAAGAATGTGTGTTTTAAAGTAAGATAAATGTAATAACCTTATACAACAATGACAAGCAATATAAGCAAATAATTCCTCTCATTGGAATGACTTTGGGTCAGACTTCTTGTTGTTGTTCTTAAGTGCCATATAATGATATCATTTCCCAATAAGTCTGGTAATTGAAATATAATAAAATGATTGGACTCACCATCATCTTATCTTATTCTCAGGTGTGTCAGAATAGAACTCTGCTTCATAAGGCTTTTAGAAGCTGATTTTTTTTTCTGAAATATGTCATTAGGGGTTTTTTTTGTTGTTTTTTTTGAGGAATTTCTTTGTGGATTCCAACTCTCAACTTTTATGTTAGTAGCCTAGCACAACGTAGACCAATTCATTTTCACTTTGTTATTTGTACAGATCATATTCACATTAATAAATTATATATATAAATCAGAAACTTTTGTATGTTGAAATTATACATTCTCTATTACTAAGCCACTTGCTGCATTAGTACTTTTTGGTTTTCCCTCCCTAACTGGAGCTACTCCAAGCAGCTAATCCTTAAATTTATCTTCACTTACTCTCATGTTTGTTAATTTTGTGCCTCTTAGAAAATCTGCAATTACTGCCTTTGAATTATAAAGGTAATGGGTTTTCTAATGCTATGTTAGGTGCTATTGAGTTTGACTCAACTTGCTGTGAGGACTTGCTGTGAGGACTTGCTGTGAGGACTTGCTCATAGGACTTTCTAGAGTGTAATCTTTAGAAGAAAATCTTTGATAGGGCAGTCCACAGGGAGTTGCACTGCTAACTCAAAGGTCATTATGCTTCTCTGGAAGTTTAAATCCACCAGATGCTCCAAAGAAGAAGGATGGTTAATCTCCTCCCAATGTGATTTGCAACCTTAGAAATACAATGGAGTGTCAACTGAGTGTTTGTTGAGTCATGACAATAAATTAGTGTAAGAAGGAGTCTTTAAGAGAGAAGATCTTGAAGTGTTTCCCCATATAATTCTGATGTGTGAAATTGAGCCTCCCAACTTTTAGCACTCACTCACTACCTCCACTCACCTAGACTCATAATGACCTCACAACAAGATTCTGTGGCTGTCATTCTCAACAAAAAGAGACTGCTCATTTTTCTCCTAAACAGCAATTGGTGAATTTGGGCTGATGAAGATGAACCTTTGCGTTTGTATCTCAACTTCAACATTAAACTAAAGAAACAAACTAACAAACAAAACTCCCAAAAACAAAAACCAACCCTTAAACTCATTTGTACTGTTAAGCCAGAACTAATTTAATTGACCTTTTAGAGTATTTCTGAAGCTATAAATGCAAGGGAAGAGATTGTCCACATTTCTGCATCAGAATCACACGATATTCAAACTGTGAAAGAGGTGCAGTGTGAGTTAGCGACACAGCTCTTTAGAGACTATACCACAAGAGTCAAAGCCCAGACAGCCTCTTGCAAGTTCATTTTTATCCTTTTTTTCTTTTTTTTTCATTTTTATCCTTTTTTTCATAACAAAATACAACCTTCTTGCTCTGTTTGAATAATTGCTTTATGTACATGAAGCCAAGGCTCACACATAAGTTCTTCATAAGTACAATCCGCTGTTCTGGAATTCCATACGTTTACAAAATTACCCGTAACTTGTTTTGATCTACATAATTTAATGTTCTTGTACAATCAATAACTTACAGATAAGCATACTTCTGTTATATTCTATTCCTGGCAAGATTCATCTGTTGTCAGCAATAATATTCCTTAGTTTATCTTGTCTTCTGATCCAGCCTTTTATTTCTGACAATTTCCTGTCAAAGTACTGCTGAAACAATTTTTGAATTATCAATAAAGTCTTAATTTTCTGTGATATTAGTTACATTATTTGATAGTTTTCTCATTCATTAGATTGACCATTTTTATCTGAAAGTCAAATAATATATTGTATTAGGACTGCAGAACTCTTTCCTTCCTCTCCCAGAATGGCTACAGAGAGAATCCAATCACAGGAAACAGCAGCTGTGCCTTTTCTATGAAACTACCTCCCCACCCCCACCCCATTTTCCCAGGAATAGTTATCTAAGACCCCAGCCCACTTCCCTATCTTGAAGGAAGCATCTGTAAGCATTTCCTTCCCCAAGTTCCTTGTTAAAAAGTGCAAAATCCCCCTCTAACTCTTTGTGGAGGCTGGTCTTCTGCTTGAGAGCCAGCCTGGCAGTTTCTCCTCAATAAACTACCTTTCCTGGCCTGCACTCAGTTCTGTCCTTCCTTGGCAACCTTACGCATTGGACTAGGAATGACACATTAAAAAACAACTTAAATGCACTTACTGCTACCATTGTTAGAACAAGATCAGGTTTCTTTGGAATAGGCACAAATATTAATGTCTTCTTGTCAGAAGGTCAGGTAACAATTTTCAAAAATTCTTGGCATAAAACAGAACTTGTAGTGTTCTCTTTTTTGGAGCATTTCAGTTGATAGTCTCTGAATATCCGAAGTCATATTTGCCTTCAATGCAGCTTGAAATTCTTATGTTAGGACAACAACCTGAAGTGATTGCTGAAGGTCTAAGACTGTAATCTTCAATATGGATTGAAGCTTAACATCAAGAAGACAAAGATTCTCACCACTGGGACAATTGGCAGCACCATGATAGATGGAGAAGAGATTGAGGTTGTTAACAATTACAGCTTGCTTGTCTTCACAATCAACATTCTTCATACCAGTAGCCAGTAAATCATAATACTAATTACATTGGTCCCTACTGTCAGGGACCTCTCCAGATTGCTGAAAAGCATTGAGGTCAGTCTAGAGACTAAGGTGCACCTAATCCAGGCCATGGTCTTCACAAGTACTTTCTATGCATCAAAGGGCTGGACAATGACTTAAGGATGACGGGAAAAAGAATTGATACCTTTGAAGTGTGGTGCTGGAGAAGAGTCTTGAACATACCATCAGCTGCCAAGAAAACAAATAAGTCTGTCCTGGGGAGGGTAAAACCAAGTTTCTCCTTGGAGGCTAAGATTTTGACATTTCATCTCACATACTTTGGGCATGTAGCCAGGAGAGATCAGTCCTCGGAGAAGGACATCATGTTCAGAAGAGTGGAGGAACAGTGCAGGAGAGGAAGACCCTAGATGAGATGGATTGATACAGTAAATAGGGTAATGGGAGTTGATGTGTCAGAATTAGTGAGACTGGCTGGGAAGGGTCACTATGGGTTGCAGGTGACTCAATGGCACATAACAACAACAAGTTATTGGTCATTTAAATGGTTGAAGATTAATCAAATCCTCTTGAAACAGTACCTCACTGATTCTCCTTTTGGTGCTTCCTGCCTTATTGAATATTTTTTTCTATAGACTCCTCCATGATGACTACTCCAGGCATGGATGTTTTACTCAGTTCTTTCAACTTGAGAATTGCAGACATTTTATTTAGAAAGGCTCGTCTTCCCTCACTAGATCACTGTTCTGATAATATTTGCATAAGATTTTCACTGGTCAATTTATTTTCAGAAGTATATTGAGAGGGATGTTTCATGTTTTTTCTTAAGTTGAATGTTCTGTTGAACCATGTGCACCCTGGGTGAACCTGCTAATATCTGCATTAGAAAAAACATGCAGTTCACTGAAGTATGGTACAGTGGCCCATGGTAACAGTGGACAATTATTTTCTATACCTGCAGTTTGGTTTTAAAACAGGAGATGGCAGCAGTTGAAAAAGCTGTATGACCTTATCCTCTACATAGCTTTTCAGTTTTTACATGTTTGTGTTTCTTGTTCATCGTTAAGTAAAGTATTAATATATCAATTATTTATAATAATAAATTCAGTAATACATAAAAATAAATATTCCCCCTCAAAAAAAAAATATTCCCAGAGTTTTACCAATGGGAATATTGCAACTTAACCTTATGTTGTTCCGGGTGTCAAGTAGTAGTATATCCTCAACGGATTTGCAAAGGCAATAAATCACACCAGAAGTGGTCACTCATCTTTCTCTCACAGAGTAGCTGGTGGGTTTAAGCCATGTGCGTGCCATTGACATGGCAACACAACTCCTACCAGAGGTCTTTCTAGATGTATCATGGAATTACAATCTTTGATGTTTTTTTTTTAACTCAGTCTCCTAAGTAAACGAACTGTGTGATTGTGACACTTCATGCAACTCCTTTATACGTATGCTTTCTTTCTTCCTTCATTCAATCTCGCTGTGAGATTTCTTTCTTTGTGTTGTTGAGTGCTATCAGGTCAGAAAAGACCCACAGCTGACCCTCCAGTGGGTTTTTAGAAGCAGTTTAATCATATAAGAGTGTATGATCTTTCTCCTGCAGAGCAGTTGATGGATTTGAACCACATTTCTTTGGGAATGTAGCATAGCTTCTTACCAATAGACCACCAGTGCTCCCTTGCCTTATAATAAAGATACACAATCTGTCTTAAAGGAAATCTCTAATGCTAAGTTATTTCCAAGTTTTCAAAGTAGCATTGTTACAGGATATCAGTTAGAAATTTGAGCATTGCTTAATTATTTACTTTTAAACAAGCAAAAACAACAATGTATGGTTTGTTGCAATTATTCACAGTTAGTAACTAAAATTAATTGTTATTTCATATATCTTTGATAAAACCAGAGCTGTAGTACTGCCTGCCATTCAGTCCATTCTGACTCAGAGTGACCCACAGGGCAGCTTAGAATTATTCCACAGAATTTTGAAGGCTGAAAATAATCTAATAGAAGCAGATTATTACACCTTTTACTTGTAGAGTGATTGGTGAATGTGAACTGCAGACAATCATTTTAACCACTG